CTGTGATTTTCTCACACCTGCTTCTCATTTTCTTTCTCCCTGCACCTTTTCTCTGCCTTTGGGGAGACTCGTTCCATTTACCTTCCCGTCCTGCTAAGGAGGCTGTTCTTTGTAGAGCACTCCATTCTTGTCTCATGGGTCTGGTGCCTTATTTTATCTCTCTTGTGTTAATTATAGAACTTTTTTCCCCTTAAGAGTTCCTTTCTGTGGGTGATCTGCATCCTATCTAGAGCCCTTTCTCTCTGTGTGTGTTAATTGACTGCTTTGGTCTGTGTCTTTAACGTTAGAGATTTCCTCGGATGTCTGGGAATTCCTGGTTGCTTGCTTATTTTTTCAAGGAGGGGACACCCAGCCCCACTGATCCCTCAAATCTACAAGGGATTTGAGGTCACAGAAGTAGACGTGTTTGTTTAATCCACCATCTCTGCTCAACCACACAGTCTCTGGTGTCTGTTTTATTTTGTAATGTTAGAAAGTGGGAAAAAAAAAATGGTCCATGCCCCGAAAGATAAATGAATAACTACAGCCATTACTCTTGAGCTCAAAGAAAAACTACATCTTTTCCTCCTCAGCCCTTTAAAGAAGTGGAACTATTCCCCCTCCTCCTCCCCCCAAAAAAATTCTCTACTGCAAAAAATAGCACGAGGTTAGTACGTGAATTTGTGACATGTGTAAACCACTCTAAAATTGTGAATAGGTTTAGAAACATTTTCTCCCTCCTCTCTACTCCCACAGTCCTGAATCACCAGCCGGCTTTCTCTCGCATCCCTTCCTGCTTGGTGAGTTGCCCGCACGTCTTATCTCCACAATGACGCTCCAAGCCAGGGGCCAGCAGGGGGCATGTCCACTTCACCTCACCTCTGCTCAGCCCCCACCAGAGGAGAGATCACTGGAGTTTGACAGTGAATGGATGGGTGACCGGCTTAAGAGCTGTTTCTCCTCTCCCCAGCACACCCAGTTAGCACTAAGGGGATTTTATATGGTGAAGAAAAAAGAAGCCCCTAAGAACCTAAAGGAAATTTACAAAAAAAAAAAAAAAGCACCAAATCATAGGTCCATTTTAAAGAGAGAGATATTATCTGTTGCTTTACATTTAATCCCACTTGGATATCTGATCTCTTTGCCTCTGACTCCACTCCTGTGGGACTAGGATGATCCTCATCCCAAAGGCACCTAAGCAGACAGGGGACACTAATTTAAGCTGCAAGATTTACAAAGAAGGGGCTGGGAGATCCACGCAGGCAGGCGGCCAGTCGATGCACAGGAGACAGGCCTGGAATCCACCCTGCTCCCCTGACTGCGTCAGGTCCTCTTGTGCTTCCCCGTGGGCACCTACAAGGAGTCCCCCATGTGACCTCTTTAGTCTGACACCGCCAGAAGAATCGTCCTCAGATACCAAATGGCCCGTGCCCCTTCTTCATCAATAACCTTGTGACATTTCTTTTGTCCCTGAATCAAATCCCTCTGCCGTCTACACTTCAGGACATCTCCATGGAGGCTTTGCCATTCCCCGATGGGGGTCCTCTCCCACTGCACTTGTTAATCCAGACCCCTGCCTTTTCCTGGGGACTGTTTCTCAGACTGACCACTGCCCCTCCTCGCCGTGAGCCCCTCCTCTGGGCCAAGCTCCGTGCTACTGTTGCTCATGGGTTATTTTACTTCATCTTCCCATCAGCAGATAAGGAAAGTGAGTCACAGGGACATGAAGGCACTGCCCCACAGCCACTGAGCTCCAACTGCAATGCACGCCAACCACGCCCAAGACTGTGGACGCTCCTCCCTACTAACCCACCTGGGCCTCCGCCTCCTCAGACCTGACCCCAGGCTTGTTCTTCCAGAAAATATTCTTCTGATGAACAGAGGGCCCTGGCTGTGGTTCTTAGAGGCTGCTGGCTTGTAGCATGGGCTGCCGCCAAGTCTTCTCCCCCCGTGTCCTGGCTCCCCACCCCACGCCACCGCCACCCGAGTCTTACTGCATTACAGATTCTAAAGCCTGATTTCCCAGCGCAGCCTGAAAGCCAGGCCTGCCACCCCTCCTCCCAGCATGCGGGATTAGGGGGCTGCATGGCAGGGTAGGCCATCAGGGCGGGGCAGGCAGCTGACTGTCAGAACCGGGATGGGGCTGACCCACAGGGGCAGGCGCAATCCTGGGGGTCAGGGTTGGGCACCCCGAGCCCGTGCTTCTCGAGGATAGGTAGAGGAGAGGCGTGGGCCAGCCTGGGAAATGAGACCCACTGAAGGACCAGTCAGGGGTCCTAAGGCAGCAGCAGCGAATCTGGGGAGCAAATGAGGCCAAGAGAAGGAGGCGGTGAGGCCATCTGCCCAGCGGTGCTTTGGGGAGGGGACGGCTGGTCCTCAGCTCTCTTCAGCTAATGCCACCCCCTCGTTGCTGTTTGAGGACTCAGTTGGGGCTGCAGCTCATTGGTGATGAAGGGCCGGGCCCAGGTGGTGGGGGGCTGCCGTCTCCCTCCTGAGCTTTGCACACCTCTTCCATTTGGCTACCCTGCCTCCTCGTTCCAGCTTCTCAAACGTCCTGCTGGCCACCTGCAGGCTCTCCTTCCTGGCAAGCCATGTCATCTTGCCATTCCTCTGCCGAGGAACGGAGAGTCGCTTCCAAGGCCTCTAAGACCACATGCAAACCCTGCTCCTGGAATCCCAGGCCTTCCAATACCCGAGCACCAGTCTTGGAAGCCCTCTACTGCCTGTTCCTGGATCCCAGGTGTTTTCCTCTCACTAAAACTTCTTCCTCGGTCCCCAGGACACATGCCCACACCCTTGCCTCTCTGATGCTGAGCGGCAGAGTGAAAGGACCTGGGCTCTGTCTCCGTGACTTCCTGTGCGCCCTTGGGCAAGGCACTCAGCATCTCTGTGCTTCAAGTTGCTTACCTATAAAATAAAGCATGTGAGGATCAGAGGGGTTGTGTTCAAAGTGTCAAGCACACAGTAGGTGCTCAATAAATGGTATCCATTGTGTTGTGCTCTTGATGTTCCCCAGTGGAGGCCATCCTCCACCTCTTTTCTGACTGGTAGCGCCCCTGCCCCCTTCCGGGCCCATTTCCACATAAACTTGAACCTACAGCCGGCAGGAGAGGAGCCCTTGGTAACCACAGGGCCAGACCCTGTGGGGCTCAGCAAACACTGAGGACAGTAGCTCCTGCTGCCGCCGTCAGACCTGTCCCAAGTGCTTCATGGGCGTGAATTCCTTGGACCCGGGGTGACTTCATTCTGTGGATGAAGGTTCCTGAATAGCTTTCTGCTCTGTCCAGCAGGTGGGCCTGGTCTCCCTGGCCCTGTCTCAACTCCCCTATCCAGTGGCCTCCAAGTGGTGGACCGGGACACTTTACTGAGGAGTGGTAGCCCTCCGGGATAAGATGCAGCCCACTGTGTGCCATCCAGGCTGACCCTGTCGGAGGGCATTGGGGACAAGGACCACCATGCTCTGCCGCCCTTTCTGTTGGGCCCAGGGCTTCGCCGGGTCTTCTCTCTGCCGGCGCACCCTTTCCCTGGCCTGCCTAGAGGTCAAGCTTTGTCCTGTGCAATGTGATAAGACGAGACCGCTGACCAGGGCACCTCTGCACAGTGGACATTTATTCCTCACGGTTCTAGAGGCTGGAGAGAACGAGATCAAGGCAGCAGAGGGTTCAGTTGTGTGGAGAGGGCGGCTTCTGCTTCCAAGATGGCACCTGGAGGCTGTGTCCCCAGGGGGACCAAGGCAGTGTCATCCCGAGGCAGAAGACTCCAGCCAGGGAAGAGGACCACGGCACAAGACCTCTTTCCCACGGGCCTTAACCCCATTCGGGAGAGGAGGAGCCCTGACGGCCTCATGGTCTCTTAAAGACCCTCCCCCTCCCCCTGGCGTGGGGGAGATGACCGCGACACCTGAATTTTTGAAGGAGGACACGTGCAGACCACGGCGGGCACCTTCTCTGATTCACCCTCGTGTGTTGGGGTCAAGTTCGCTAACTCCTCCCCTTTGTCCCCAAGGTGCCTCCTGCACCCACTTACTGTGCCCTTCTGTAAACGCCAACGCCCTCTCCCGGGCTGAGCGCCCCCCCCAGGGGGTGGGGGAGAACCAGGGGGGATGGGTGTCCAGGTGGGGGAAACAGCGGCCCAGTGGGCTCTTCCCCGAGACCCTGACAAGCTCCGCCAGGCAGCCTGTGCCTCTGTGGCCCCACGGCCCCCTCCAGACACACGGAGATGCCGGCCCTGGAACCCGCTGGCTTTCTTAGGGGACATCACTAACTGTGATTTTTCCGTGGTTTTTTTTTTGTGACAGTTTGCCTTTTCAGTGATTTCAGAGTGATCGCATCCACGTACATCTCACTGTCGGCCTGGAGGGGAGAATTTAGATTTTATTTCTGCCTGATTTCACCCAAAGCCAGCCTACCAACGCTCAGGAGATGCCGACGACGTGGGACACATGACGACAGGACACTTTGCCTCTGGGTCCTGGCTTGTGCAGCTGGGGTGGGAGGGAGGGGACCAGAGGACGGGGCAGCTGCAGGCAGGACCCAGGGGGTCACAGCAGCAGCTCCGTGTCACCCTCACCTCTCTGTCCTCTTCAGCAAAAGACCTCGTTGCCTCCCCGTCTAGGCCCCCGCGGTCTCTGCTCGGGCCGTGGCCGTCCCCCCACTGACCCCTGTCTTCCCTTCGGCAGGTACCATGACCAGCAGGATGTGACTAGTAACTTTCTGGGTGCCATGTGGCTCATCTCCATCACGTTCCTCTCCATTGGCTACGGGGACATGGTGCCGCACACTTACTGTGGGAAGGGCGTCTGCCTCCTCACCGGCATCATGGTGAGTACCCTCTGCCCGGGACCCCGCCCTCGCAGTGGGCCACAGAGCTGACCCCTTTACTAGAACACAGAGGGGCCTTCCCACCTGGGGTGTGCGGGGGCCGCCGCCGGCTGACAGGCGTGGCCCCTGCGCAGAGAAAGGCCGAGGTGCCCTCTGGACAGTGTCTCCGCTGTCCCCTTCCTTTGCTCAGGTAGGAATGAGGTCCTGGTTTCTGACCTCAGAACGGGCTGGGGGAAGCTGGTCACTGTTTGGACCCTCTCACTCGCCTCCAGTAGGCCTCAGAGCTCCCGTGAGCTGTCCTCCTTCCTGTCCCCCAGGTGCCATAGGCTTCGGCACCGTTGTGAATCGGTTTGAGCTGGAATTCACAGAAGCAGGGGTTGGGGAGAATGCACTGAACCAGCCCGAAGGGCCCTGTGTCCTACACGGTGTTGGCCACCAGCCTGGGCCCTGGTGTGGCCCTGGGGCCCTGGGCCAGCTCTTGACCTACAGAGGTGCTGGACTCTGAGTGCCAAGTCCTTTCTAGCCCTGGCACCTGGCAAGACACACCCCCTCCCCGGGTGCCCCAGGCGTGCTTCTCCTGGCCAATTTGCCTCCCCAACCCGTGCCCTGGGAGACACGTGGGTCAGGCCCATCACAGGGCCACGGCAGCATGGTCGGGGGGGAGTGAGAAGAGGGGTCTGGATTGGCACTGGGGTCCCTGGCTGTGGACCCTGGTCCAGGGGCTCACCTGCTGAACCCAGCCCTCCCAGGGCGAGGTGGGGATGGAGGGCCTGCCCTGTCCTCCTTGCTGAGGCCCAAACACAACGACTTGTGAGAAAGTGCTTGGTGAATGAGGAGCAGCCACTCACTGGGTCCGTGTCGGTGTCATCCCCGGTGTCCCCTCCCTCGAGAGCTCTGCGTGTGCTTTGGGTGCAGACAGGCGGCCCCAGCCTTTGCCGTCCACCCTAGAGGTCCGTGGTGAGGCCGTCTCTTCAGAGAGCCCCCGGTCTCACTCGTACCCCTGCTGCTCCCAAGGGACAGAACAGTGGCTCTTCTGTGAGCCCCATGACTCCTTTCTGCAGTAGGAAGGGAGAACCCGGCTCTTCCTGCAGGATCCCCGTGGACTCCGCACCTGTACCAGGGCCTGTCCCTGCTCAGCCTGGTGGCCTCGTGGGGCTGAGCGTGATGGACGGGGCAGCCTGGCTCAGGTCACAGGGGACAGAGGAGGCCCTGGCCAGGGGCGCAGCTTTCTCCTCTTTCCTGACTCTAATCCAGGGCAGGCCCTCATTAGCAGGCAGAAACCATCAATGACGGCGGCTTAGCCCCGGGGCCGGGTAAATCCTGGGTAAGTGGAAGGCTTTAGAACAAACACCTCCACGTCGGGCGCAGCGCCAAGGGCCACCAGGAAACCAGGGAAGCTGCTTCCTTCCAGAAAGGAATGAAATGCCACCTGAAGGCCAAAGCTCTCCTGAGCGCTGCTCCTGGGGCGTGGGCTTTGTGCCTCAGACCCGCTCTCTGGAAGGGCCGCGCAGAGCCAGGCTGCTCATGGGTGGACGGAGCTGCGGGGAGCCTCGGTTATTTTTAAATACCAGCCATTCTCACTCTCGGCATGGAACTGACCCAGGCTGTGTCCCCGGCTCCTGCCTTCTGTTCTGACAAAGAGCCGAGGACGACTCGGGACCCTTTGGCCTAAGTCTGCCTCTCCTTGGCAAGTGGTCTACCGTGGACTGTTCGGCGGTCTTCCAGAACCTTCTATCTCTGCCTGGGTCCATTGCATTCCTTGGAAGGAAATGTCTGTTCCTTGGGGATTGAGGTGGGGTCAAAGTGGAAAGAACTAACAGGCGGAGGAACCCCCTCCTACCTCCCAAATTTAAAACACGGGCCTTTCGTCCTCTCTTTCTTGACAAAGCCCGCTGCGTGGATGTGCCCCGATGCAGACCCAGGGAGGCCTTCCCTGCTCATCCTCGGGGTTTTTCTGTTTCGTTTTGGTTTTGCAGGGGCCTTGAACCCAGGGGTGCCCTGCCCCTGAGCTCTGCCTCCAGCCCTTTCATTTTTTTATTTTGAGTCAGGGTTTCACGATGATGCTAAGGTCGGCCTCAACCTCCCCAGGAGCTGCCCCGTGAGCATGTGTCACTGTGCCCAGCTCCTTGTCAAATGTTTTTACCCGGATTAAAATCAGGGGCTCCCTGGTGGCTTTCTCCCATCCGACCTGACTTTCCCGCTGAGTCACTCCTCGGAGGGGTTGGCCTTGCCGAGGACCCCTTCCCCCAACAGGATGTGTACCTCCGGATTATTATCGCCAGGGCCTCGACTAGAGGTAGGGCTTCCTGTTTGGTTGCCATGGAGACCACAGAGGCCACGGCCTGCTCGGGAAGGAAACTGAAGGATTTGTGTGTGCAGGCTGTAAATGGTCTTAATCATTGTTTTCTCTTGGCAAACCCCGCCACGGTGTAATTATCAGCCATTAGGCAGGGTGTATAATTGTCTGGACAACTTGACGTGGCTGGCACAGATCTGATGCGCTCGAGACTGTTCACCCACAAAGGCGGCTACGTTGAGGTCCAGCGTCTTTCTGTACAGAATCTCCAGGACGAGGGACAGTGCCGGAGAGGGCAGTGGGTCAATGTTCAGTGCCAGTAGAGGGAAGGACAACCACCTTGGGTCTTTTGGTTCTGCAGGCCTCTTGGGAGACCGTAGGACCCCCAAATCTGCTTGGTAGCTACTTTGTTTCAGTAGAGCCATTTCCTAGAGCTGGGCGCGTCCTCCGTGGACCTTTCCTGATTAAGAACACACGCTCCCAGTGTGCCCTTGGGGATGCTGAGCTTCCCCCGAGGGCCTCAGGAGAGATGTCTCTGAGCTCCGCGGGAGAGCGTGATGAAGTGGAAGGCAGCACCCACTGAGTCACTTGGGGAAGAGAACCAAAAGGGCTCAGGGAGACATCTGCTTAATGTCAGCTTTGGATGCGCCTCTGCCGAAACACCTTGGTTTCAAGCCGGTGGATGTTATTTTAGTTGTTACGTGGAATCTGTTGCAGCAACAGAATCCAACTGTAAATCCTCCCGGCTTCCCTCCTCCGTTTGTCACTTTCATTTATGTTCTATTTTATTTTGTGCTTCTTTTCGTTGAGAACGCTGCATACTTCTCCCTTGGGATGCTTGTTTTTTCCAGCTTTTTAAGATTTTCCAGCTGGGAATGCCTCTTGGGAACAAGAAACAGGAGGACCGGCAGGGAGGAGTCAGGCTCCAGATCTGGGTCCGAATCCATCAATGACCTAGGCACGTCATCCCTGCCAGACACCCTCTGTCCCCTCTCTCTCTCTCTGTGTCCCCTGCTCACCCATGCACTGTGGAAAGTTCTATCTGGGTAGTGGGCCCTCCCCACCCCCACCGTGGGAATTGCAGTCGGGCCCAACAGACTCAGGGAATCCAGTTGATGTCACCTGTGATCCAAGACTTGGCACATCTGAAGGCAGACGACTGGGTCATGGATTTGTCCCCCAATCGGACCCCCCGTGGAAGTCGGGCCAGCCACTTCTCACCTCCTGCCCCACCCCGTCCTCTCTGCACATGCCCACTCTGTTCATTCTGTGCACAGTAGGGCAGCAGGAGGTCTCACGTGCTACCACTCACCAGGCCCTGGGCTGTTCATCTCGTAAAGCCAAGCTGCCTCGCAGCCATGTCTCATTCCCAGGAGGCTGGCAGGGCCCTGTCAGGTGGATAAGCTCATGGATGTCAAAAGGTGGTAGGGGACCCTTAGACTGGGGGAGGAGTGGGTCCTGGGGCACTGTCTTTATTTCCTCTAAAAAGTCCGAACGGGCCCTTCAGTTCTGCTTCATGTCTTGGCTCCTTGCTCGGTCCTTTCTCACGCCCACCAGCCCTGCCTCCCTCCATCTTCCGACCTTTGCTGTTAGAAGGTGGCAGGACTCATTTCCAGTCTTAGTCTCCATCTCTCCTTGCACCCTCCTGCCTTCCCTCGGCTCCTTCCCTTCCTTTCTCCTCTCTTCTCATCCCTCTCTCGGTCTTCCGTCCCTCCACCGTCACCCAGAGAGGACCACTCACCTGGGTCCCGTGGCTCTGCCCATCACTCTCTCCCTGGAGACGGCTGGCCGCCGACTCCGTCTTTACAAGGTTGACTCTCGGTGGGAACGATCACGTTGGCCACCATGATCGGTGACCTCCTTCACTGCATCCAAATGCTGGTTCAGCTAAAAGGAGAATAAAATCACCAGCGTCCATGGCTATTGATTCTGGTTGAGATTAGGGGTCAAGAAGGCAGTACCCTACAGAGAAATGTCCTCAAGGAAGTCTTGGCATCTTTTAAGTTGAGATAAATCGGCCTCTAGGCAGAAACTCGCCTTTCTCGTTGGGGACAGATGATTCTTTAGGTAAGACACGTTGGCTTCTTAGGAGCCCCTGGTATTCAACCACATAGTCTGAATACAAGGGGACCCCAGAGTGCTCCCCAGAGACCCTGGGAATTAGAGATGGTGGATGCTTGTTTGGTGGCCTTCCCGAGGTGGCAGGGTGAGTAGGGATACTCTTCTTTGGGTCTTGTACCCAAGCTTTCAGGGATGATTGAAGTGAGATTTAGTGTGGACTCGGGGAGATGAAGGAGAACAGAGCCTGGGGAGAACCCTCTCGGGCGGATGTTCCATTTTTAACACGATCATATATCCCTCCTTTGGGGCTTTTGGCCCCAAGTGCTTTTGGAACTCCACATAAAGGCAAGACACGATACTGGGTCTGGTTGAGGGGGGCGGGAACACACATCCTCCCCGTGGGACATCTTCTTTTAAGCTATTTTTTGCTTTTGGAGGCCTGGCTAAACTGATGACAGCCACAGACCAGGCTGCCCAACTGTCCCTAGCCTCTGAAAATTGGGCACAGTCTCCTGCGAGTCACAGATGCCAAGAAAACTCAGCCGTCCCTGAACAAAGGAGGAAAACGAGGTCAGGAAAGGAAAGTTCACACAGACTCGGTGCTTTTCACTTTGCTGTGCTCCAAAGTGGGCTACCCAGGGCACCAAGAAACACTCGATTGTCTTAATGGAAACCATTGCAGGAGAGCAGAAGTCACCAACTCCAGCCACGCTGACCCCCCACAGGAGCCAGCCTCTGTCAGCCATATGAATGGAGGGAAAGAGAGAGCCAGGAGACAGCAGGAGCTGACCTGCCCACGGGCAGCCCTCCCAACTCTGTGCAGTGCCTTTGAACAACCTTCGTGTTAGCCAGGCCTTATGGTGCACACCAGCAATCCCAGTGATTCAGGAGGCTGAGGCAAGAAGATCCCGAGTTCAAGGCTAGCCTGGGCAATTTAGTGAGACCCTGTCTCAAAAAAGAAGGTCAACTACAACAACCAACAAAAACTCCCCAAACCAGGTAGTTCCGTGATCGAGCACCCCTGGGTTCAACCCCTAATACCCCCACCCACCACCAAAAAAATTCTTGTTCATGTCTCATACATTTCATTAGATAAGACCTGATGAACTAAAATGTCACTGATGGATTTCTTTAATCCAGGGACCTCAATCTGCTAAACTGGGCTCGGTGTTTTACTGTGGAAACTGGGATTACTCTTTGGCATCTCGGGGATCACATTCTGGCTTTGACAAACTCATCATCTCTTTACATAAGTGATCAGGGCAATGCCAATGTGCAGGAGAAGGCGGTGTCTCTGAGGACAGTGCTGTCTGGCCAAGGTCAGGGCGGACGTCCACTGCCAGCCAGAGGACGGGTTGACCATCTTCTCCCCCACCCCCAGTGCCTGCAGGCCAACGCAGAAGCACAGGGAAGAGCATTTAAAATCCCATCCGGAGCCCGCTGGAATGTGCCGTTTCTTTTTCCTGTTCATTTTTTCCCCGGTCAAGTGAACACCCGGAGGATCGGGAGTGGGGAAGCGAGCCCTGCCATTCTGTGGCTCAGCAAAGCCCCGCTCCTCCGCCCGTGCTCCTCCCTGCTCTCGTCCAACCTGAGCAGACGAGGACCCTTATCCTGGAAACTCCTAAGGGTCTCCTGCAGGGCCACTTGCACCCTGGTTGTAGGCAGACGTGTGGTCATTTTTAAAACCTCGGCGTGATGGTCACTTCATGAGCCTCCGGGTGAGAGCAAGAAAGAACCCGTGCCTGGTGCTGAGTCACTGCCTCCAGGTAGAGAGACTCAGCTGCAGAGCAGACGTGATCATTCAGTGCCCACCCGCGTTCCCTCGAGGAGACAGTCTGGGGAAGCTGTATGGCCTCTTCATTTGATTGTCTTCAGGAAAACCTTCAGCCACGGTGCTGTGCCATAGGGTCTTCTCTCCTTCTGGGCCCACTGGGCACGCAGGAGGGCAAGAGCGCCCGTGTGTGCTGAACCCTCTGTCTCCTGCTGCACTGCAAAACTAGCCAGAGACCTCTTGGTCATCCATTGGCCTAATTCCCCCAAAGCCTCAGCCCCATACAGCATCAAGGACTGACTAGTTCTCTAAAACTGCTTCTCCCAAGGGCGGACAAACAAGGGGGCACTGCAGACTCCTTCTTGGTGGGGACATGAAGGCGCCGCAGGTCTGGGCGTCACGGTGGCTCGGTCTCGTTGAGCCAGAGAGCTCGAGTGGGCAGGGTCTTGCACCTTGCCTTTGAATGACCCCTGGTCCCCTTGATGTCCTCCCACAGGGTGCGGGCTGCACTGCTCTGGTGGTGGCCGTGGTGGCCCGGAAGCTGGAACTCACCAAAGCGGAGAAGCACGTTCACAACTTCATGATGGACACTCAGCTCACCAAACGGGTAAGACGTCACCCCTCCATGTCCCCACGGGGATCTCCATCACCAAAGTGGAAGCCAGTTCCAAAGAGGATGGTCACGTGGTACGGATGAGGGCCACACTTTGGAGTGTTCTCGTTACATCCCTGTGCATGGCTCAGGCAACCAAATAATCTTCCTGATAATTAGATCAATAGCCTACAATGATGTCCCCGCCCCCTGGCCTAATGGTGCCAAATAAATCACCCAGCATGAAGTTTCTGTTTATGCTCAAATATTTTCATGATTCTCATTAGGAAGGGAAGTAGAGAATCTTGAAACTCTATTGAAATCATATCTACATTGAATCCTTTTTGTTGTTGTTGTTGTTGTTGTTGTTTAAAGAATCACTTAGAACGGTCGTTCCAGCACAGCCCATATTCCTGAATATCGTTCATCAAAACGTCACGATCCAATTTTCCCCTTTTGGGTTTTCCAGATAATGTTTCTCACTTGTACCCTATGAAAGTGGTTAAGGAGGATGAAAAACGGAAAATATGCAGAAACGGGGAGCTCATTTAGCTGCTAAAAATCTGACACCCCACTGAATTGTGAGAGAAGGGAAGGCTCATTTAGAAGAGGCAGAAATGAGCCTTGCAGGGTAACAGCAGGCCGAATGAGCCAGCAGGAGCTGTTTATTTAATGACAGCTTTTATGGAAGATTCTTTAGAACTGCAGCCTGAACCAAGGTCAGGAGGATGATTTCCTGCAAGATGCTCCCCTTCCCGAGACCAGAGAGAACCAAAATCCGGCGCTGGGGTCTCGGCTGCCCTAGTAACTCTGTCTCGGTTAGGACTCCCGTAGGGCAAGGGACCCATGAGCAAGCCCATACATCAACTGGAGGTTTTGAAAGCTGGAGAAAATATTCAGTGATTAATGTTGCAAAGCAGTAAAAAAATGTGTTAGAAATAGAGACAAAGGCAGGAAGGGAGAACAAAAAGAGAGCAAGAGAGTGACAGAGCAGCAGTGGGCTCTCAGAAGGCAGGGGGTGCCGTTGCCAAGGTCTCTCCAGTTTCTCGGCAGAATTATTTATGGCGTTCGATTGTTTGGTCTTTGATTACATTTATTGGATCCTCTGAAAAGCCACCGCAGATGTTAAAAGGAAACAGGGACAAGCAAATATCCCCAAACTGTTGACATACAAATGGTCGTCACGAGGTACATCACAGCCCTGAGCGACCAGATGTACAAAAGAAAACCTTTTTTGATGCATTAAGATAGTGGCCATTGATGCTGTCACCATTGCAAGGCATGCTGGGTTTCACGTGGAGCCCCACCACCAAGTCCCTCTCCCTCAGCCCCGCTGGGATGCACTGTCAGAGGCGTGCTTGGGACTGAGGAAATTTCTAACGTTATTGGAACAACTAAAGGCGAAGACACTTGCTTCTATTAGCCTGACACTTCTCTGTATTGAAACCACAAACAGGAGTGAGGGGAGAGAGCTTTTTTGCCTCCACGACCTTCTCAGGAGTTATTTACCAAGGAGCATCAACAGTCTCTCTGTATATTCTAGTTTGCTTTTTGAAACCGAGAATATACTTTGTATTTCATGTTATTACTTTGTCCTCTCCATTTTTTACCCAGTAAATCAGACACTAGAGGAAAATAAAGCCAAGGAAAACCAGCTCTCTCATATGCCAGGAAAATAAACAAATTTTTTTTTTCTGCAATATAATTGTGGAAGGAGATGGAGTTGTGCTGGCTAATTTCAATCTTTCAGAAATAATTCTCTAAAACCCTCTTCAAGTCCACTTGCTTCTTGAAAAGTAGGACTGAAAATCAAATCCTCAAATATTTATTGCTCAGCCATGAGTGCAAGGTACCTTCTTAATCGAATAACATTTCACTTTTCTGAGAACACTTGAATCTGTTGAAATGTCCCTTTAATGGCTAATATCTTTTCCCAGAGAAATAAACAACACAAAAGGGAGGAGTCCTGCAGAGAATTTCAAAGCTGGCAGGACTGGGACTTCCAAAGGTTCTCTCACGTAACCTTCATTGAAACGGGGGTTTGAGGTCCCTGGCCTACTCGCGTTTGAGCTCACTTCACGCTGCCAACTAGACAAGCCCCTGGGGATGCCGGCCTATCCCCCGTCCTCTCCAAATGGCCTTTGCACTCAGCTGGAGTGGTCCGAGGGTCAAAGAGTTGCTAGGTCCAGCCCCTGGGTAAGATCTCAGTGAGTTCTTGGGGAAAGATCCGAGGTGGGAGGAGCCGAGAGTGACATACTGCAAACCTCTTAGGAGTGGACAATTAGTAGATTTAACAGATAAAAGCAAAATCCCTTAAAAGTGCATGTGACCTTAATTCTCCAAACATCTAAGCAAAAAGAAGAAGGGATTATCGATGAGTCATAACGATGCTCTAATTTCTCTTCTGTTAGTTCATCCTCACGTCTGCCATTAGAGTGGCGCCGTTTTCACTGGTTTGCTGATGGGGACGCGAGGAGGTCTTGGGGCACAGGGTTTTCCTGCACCCATGGCCTTTCTCTTCCTTCCCTGGTATAACTCATCGAGCCTGGTGGCAACGTCATTTCTGTATTGAATGCCATCAGCTCTTCCCACACTGACTGAGCAGCGTCACCGCCAGCTATTCTATAATTACCACGAACGCTAACCTCTGGGTTCCAGGTGATATATAAGCAGATGACACCCAGAGAGACTGTGGAGGTCCTGGAGCCCCATCTGTCTGTTCTCCCGCTCTGGCTCCTCCATGCCGCCATCTTGGTTTTGTGTAATTAACACACATCACAGAGGTCACTTCCTGGAGGGCTCTCTTGGTGTCTCCGGGTACACCAGGATGGGTAAGAGGGAGTCCTTGCCCTTGTACTTAACTTCTGGTGACTGACTGCCCTCAGAGAACACGGCAGGGTGGGCTGCCACGGACACTCTTGGCTCTACAGGCGTCATGGAAGGGAGATCCCTGTGTATCTGCTGCTACTCTCCACTCAGACCCATGGGTGGACCTGCCCCACGGTGTGCAGGACTGGTTCAGGGTCCCTGTCCTTATCCTTGCTGAAGGGTTCCTTGTCCCAGAGACCTGATCCACGTACACCTCCACAAAATCAGTGAGTGAAACCAAACTTAGGACTTCCCTAAGCCCAGTTCTCCCACCGACTTCCCTGCTCAGCTAATGACATAGCGATCCCTCCAGGGTCCAGGCCTGAAGACCCTGAGCCAGCTCTGACTTCTCTGGGCCCCGAGCCCCAGCAGAGGACTGAACAGTTTCCAAGTCTGATTCGACCTGGCCCTAGCTGCTCCTGCACAGTGGCTCACTACCTTCTCCCAATTGAGCCCCCTTTACCACAGCTCTCCTGCACTCTGCTTCCCTGTGGATCTCGGGCTGTGCTGGAGCTCTGGGCATACCACTACCCCCCAAACACATTTCACAGCCCCCTATATCTGCCTAATGGTGATAAAGAAAACTTTAATTACAGTCCCTGTTAAATGTTTACCATAGTCTTGCTAGAAAAAAAAATTTTTTTTTTTCAGCAGGCTAATTCAAAGATTCACTCTTTTTAGGACTAAACATTGGTCATCGTTGTTACACCAGATGTGGGAAGTCTGGCTCATGCACCCTCGATGGACAACCCACAGCTGGTTGGCCTATGCCTAGATTCTCAGAATAAGTTCTTTATGGCTTTAAAATTCATTAATCAATTAAACAATTATCAGGGATGCTAATTCTTCTCAAAAGAGGATTGCAAACTTCATCAGACAGATGGGGCACGGTGTATCTTTGACAGCAGTTGCAAAAACACTGTGTGGTGGAGTTGGAAGGATCCTTGGGGATGATCGGGTCCAACCCAGATGAGAACACTCAGTTCCAGACAGGGATTGGGGAGGGGGACACCTCAGCCCTGTGCAGCAAGCTGGGGCCTGTCTCCGATCCAGTTTATTCTCCAGAGGACAACAGCTCTCCAGGCAGAACCCACAGGCTTTCCAGGAAAGTCACGTGGTGGTTGGGGTCCCCAGCCTGGTGGAGAGAAAAACCGGTCTGCCTGTAGCTAGCTGAGCACCCCAGCAGTATTCACAGGTTATGAAATCACCCACCGTTCATTACCAGGTTGCCATGGGGAGAGCTTCAAACTCCAGCTCTGAACCACAGAAGTGTATCTCCTCCCTGCCTCTCCCCCTCCCTCCAGGTTCCTGTCAGTCATGGAGGTGGAGCCCTCTCCCTCCCTGGGAGGCAAGAGTGTGGAATGCAAGGTGGGGAGGAAGGAGAGGAGGTGTAAGCAGGGTATGAAAGAGAGGGCAGCCTCGGGAAGCAGCAGGAAATCTGGGGGTGACCAGGAGGGAACAGTGGGCCCAGCAGATGGGAAGGAGGGGGAGGCCCCCCTCTCCAGTCCTGTGTGTAATGGACATCCCCAGTCACGGGTGTGGAGACGGGGCTGCCTGCAGGCGATCGCAGAGCCATGGTGACCGCTGCTCAGTCGGCTTGGGTCCAACCTGTGTAGAATGTTCTTCCCTGGGAAGTTCCTGGGCCCGCGATGGACACACTAGTGGTTTCTTCCTGTGGGTCCACCAGTGGGGCTCTTGCAATTACTCTCCCAGGGCGCTCTCTGGCTGCCAAGGACACAGGGTGCCCAAGAAGGAGGCTCCTTTGACCCCCCTGGTCCTTCTGCTCTGTGTGTTCTTCCTGCAACCCACAGCCCCTCTGGGTCCAAGTGGTAGGTCACCTTGGCAGAGAGGTGGCCCAAGAAATCCCTTGACTTGGAAGGGTGTGGCCAAGAGCTCAGGAAACAGACGTGCATTCTGTTGTATTTCTTTTGTTAGGGGTTGGGGAGACCAGAGGGAACCAAGAAACATTGACGTGTATTGGAAGGAGAGTATGATAAAGCAGCCACGGACTGAGGAGCACTGTAGCCAGGCTCGGTGCTCAGTGTTGTAATTATGTTCTCATTTAATCAAAGCAAACCCATTTCTCAGACCAATAGAACTTGCAACACTCCTGCTCCTGGCCCACTGAAGCCTGTATTATCTGATACTATGTTACAAATCGCATTCTGTCTACTCCCTGACAGAGACACCTAGCAGTATTCGCACCACCTAGAACAGTGCCCGGCCCTCTGTGGCTGCTTATTCAGTGTTCCTTGAGGGAATGAATTTGGAAAGTGAGTTCCAGAGAGTTCAGCAATGGATCCAAGGTAGAGCCAATCAGCCCAGCTACTTGTGGAGTTTTTTTTTTCTTCTGTGAAGTGCCTGTTCAGTTCCTTTGCTCATTTTTTGATTGCATTTCTTGCTTTTTTTTTTTTTGGGGGGGGGGGTCAATGAAACCGTGCAGAAAGCAGAGCCTGGCACATGGGAGTGCTCAGTAAATGTTAGCTGTCGCTGTCAATTTGCAAGACCTTAGTTGGACAATTTTCTCACCCAGGCCCACTAATCAGAGGGTTCTTCCTGCAGTATGTAGCTCATGAAGCCATCCCCCATCAGAATGAAAGCATCGAGTTTGTGGGGTAGAGAATTTATGGGCTCAAAGGATACAGCCTGTGTGTTTGGGGGTTGGAAGCCACAGAGATGGCTTTCCAAGCACGGAGCGTCCTCCCCTCGAACCCATCCCAACCCGTCCAATCATGGCCAGCCTGAAACAATCCCAGCCAGTTTGCTGCTTCATCTCGAGCCCTGTGCTCCCTCCCGCCCTGCTCCCTGCATCCTGGGAGCGTCTTTGGGGTCTGGAGTCCCTGTCCACTATGAGAGCCCCCAGGGTACCCAAGCTGCCATCAGGGAAGGGTGTACAGAGCCCGTCGGAGGCTCAGCATGTCCCAGGAGGGGCACACGCCCTTATCTGCTCTCCACCCAGCTGCTGCTCTGAGCCATCAGTCAGGTGACTTGGAGAGAGGGAGACCTGGTCACAGCAGCATCTGCTGCCTACCTGGGAAAGCAGAGTGCAGTTAAAAGCCTATTTCTTTTTCTCTGACGAATATTGATCTCCTTAGATTTGTGCCAGGCTGTTTGCTGGCAATTAATTTCAGCCGGCACAAAGGCTTGCATTTAACACCACTTTCCTGAATAGGCAGGGGCCTCCCGTTCAAACCCATAAAGATGATGTGGTTGCCTCTCAGCTGCAATGTCTTGCATTTGGGCTGAAGTTAAGTGCAGGACCCAGACTCCATGTTGTGCTGTGTTGCTAAGCGAGGGCCACAATGATTAGATTAAACAAAAAACAAACCAGTGTCCTTTCCAATTCCTTGATCCTGGGAAGCAGGAAATCGTTTCTTTGGTGTAATGATGCAACCCAGTCAGGTCTTCCTTCAGGACACAGGAAAACCTTATGCGTCTCTTGGACCTGGTTCTTGTTTTGACTTGGCCATGAGCTAGTTGTGTGATTCCGGCCTCACATCCCATCTCCGAAACGGTTTCCTCCTGTGTGGGGTGGGGCGTTTGGGTTGGATGATAACTAATACCAGTTTGGCACTTTAGAGATTCCACATTGACTCCATTTGTCATATCATACATGGTTTTAGACCTTTTTTTTTTTTTTTTTTTTGTACTGGGGATTGAACCCAGGGGAGCTTTACTACTGAGCTACACCCGCAGCCCCCACACTTCTTTAAAAATTGTGAGATAGGCTCTAAGTAGCTTAGGGATTTTCTAAGTTGTCGAGACTGGCCTCCCACTTGTGATCCTCCTGCCTCAGCCTCCCGAGCCGTTGGGATTGAGGCGTGCACCACAGTGCCGGGTGGCATCAGTGTCTTTATCTATAAAGTGGGGATGATATTAGTCCCTTCCAGACAGGGTGGTGGTGAAAGCAGTGAGTTTATGCACAGGAAGTACTCAGACATTAATGGTGTCCTTGGCCCACACTGGCACCAGCGGCATAGCCTTGTTGGGGCCTCTTAATGGCCCTTAAGGTAAGGACGTCTTCTTCTCATCTTATGGATAATTAGGCATTTGCTTCTAAATTGCTCCATAATTGATGGAACCTGCAGATTACCCCATTTCAGATGTTCCACACTGACACAGCAGACCGATGTCAGAGGCCTGTCAACTCTGACATTCCGAGGCTCTGTCAGTGTTCCAAGGGGCAACTTGAGTCTCTGGAGTCTGCTTCCTTGTGAAGCTATGGCAAGTGTTTGTTTTTTTTAAGAGTTTTTTCATTTGTTCGTTTTAGCTACTCATGACAGTAGAGTGCATTCTGACATATCATACGTACCTGGAGTAGAACGTCCCATTCTTGGGGTGGTCATGATGTGGAGCTGTACGTGATGTGGTCGTGTGTTCACATATGAACACGGGAAAGTGATGTCTGATTCATTCTACTGTCTTTCTCATCCCCCTCCTATTTCCCTGCTTCCCCTGTCTATTCCGGTGAACCTCCCCACCTCCTTCCCAATGTGAGTCAGCATCTTCATATCACAGAGAACATTCAGCCTTTGGGTTTTGGGAACTGGCTTATTTCACTAGCATGATCGTCTCCAGTGCCATCCATTTACCGGCAGATGCCATAATTGTGTTCTTCTTTATGGCTGAGTAATATTCCTGTGGCAGGGTTTTGTCCTTTGAGACTTTCCTTCGAGGCCAAGAACCCATGGAAACTAAGAAATCACACATCAAATCGTACCATGCCCCCTGTCCCCCAAAAGTTCAGCAGTAATGTGGGCTCTGCCGGGGGAAAGACCCCTCTCCAGTGCCACCTCTTCTCCCAGAAGTCCACTGTCCACTCCAGCCTGAACAGAGCCCCAGAGACCATCCTGTCCCTGCCTCCCCTCATTCCCTGGAGGCCCACAGTCCGTGGCCTCTGCTCACCACCACCTGTTCTCTCTCGGGCAAGAAGGCACCAGAGGTGGGCAATTGAACCATTTAGAACCTTTTCCACGTGGATTTCACTGAATGGAAAAAAAGCAATATCTATGTCCCTCAGACATTTCTGAGAAGACTTAGCTGTTCTTTCAAAAACACCGCTTCAGCGCCAGTGAAAACTGGAGCCCAGCCTCAGTGATGAACTCTGCAGCTCGCACACACGGAAGTTATCAGGCTGCAGCTCCGTGTCTCGCAGGCCTCCCCACACGTCCCGGCGTTTAACAACGTCCCATCTGTTGGTGTCAGGCCGAAGCAGCGGGACTGGGATCTCGGATTTTATGACGATCCCGGCTGGCTGGTCCCCTGGTTTCTTGAGACTGGCCTCCTTGCTTCAGGGCCCCGTGCCCGTGGCCCCGTGCCCGTTTGCATGGCTGACAGCAATGGGAGACGGTTAATCAAGAATCCGTGTAGCTGGTGCTTAATAAGGGTTGCTTCCTCTGGCTCTCGTTACTAATTGCTGAAGAGGTCCGTGTTTGGATTAAAACTTTGTCCCTTGCCATCTGGATGCCATTGATATGTCTCCGTTCCGTCGTGAGCCGGGTGATATCGGTGGTTTCCATGTCAACGGATGACAGCGTCCTATGTGGAGACGTGTGACTGCAGGGGGGAGGCGGCTCCCGCTTCACACCCAAGATCTTCACTGACTTCAGATGCGGCTTTGACACTGTTCCCGTTTTCTGCCAATGACATTTACACGTGAGATCACCGTGTCAACGGTTTGGGCCGCTCAGGAGAGGAAGCGGTGGGCTTATGGACACCTCCAGCCCCAGTGGGTGGGGGGGCATTTCCTCAAAGAGGCCTTTCTAAATCCCCAACCCATAGGAAATCTGTTTATTCTCTGAACCCAAGAAACGTGCCCCCCCACACTCGATGGGGATCTCAGGTTGGAGGTGGCCCTGTGCCCGCCAGGTCAGCGATGGCACATACTGGTCCATTGGAGGTCCCCGGGCCTCCAGGTCTCGGCCCGGCTGGGCTGCCTAAATAGAGCCGCAGCAGCAGCAGTTGAGAGGCAGCACTGAAATCGTTAAGAAAGAAACGCCTCTCAACTGCAAGCGCCAGCCTGCTGTGTCCAGTTCAGGGTTAATCCGAGGCGAATTTCAACCACTTTATCTTCTCAGAGTTCCCTGACCTTGATTAAGAAAATAGATGGCGGCGGAATTGTGTCCTTCGGAGGCCCACGATGGCAACTGGCGGGGAAACACATTCCATGAACCTGGGAAAAGGAACCTGACAGCGGCCTGTTTTGTTTCTTCTGCTTCAGATCAAGAATGCCGCAGCCAACGTGCTTCGGGAAACGTGGCTGATCTACAAACACACCAAGCTGCTCAAGAAGATCGACCACGCCAAAGTCAGGAAGCACCAGAGGAAGTTCCTCCAAGCCATCCACCAGTGAGTCCAGGGCAGCCCCGCCCGCAGATGCCCCGTCGGGGGGTGGGGGACCTGTGGCTCCGCTGGCATCCTCTCCTACCTCCTCGGAGGCACCCGAGACACCCGTCTGTTCCATTCCACCAGCACCAGGGTGGGGACTGGCTCCAACCAGGCGTCTGTTCATTTACTGCTGCTGCCAGGCAGTGGGCAGGCTGCGGGGAGGGTGAAGGAGCAAGAGTCGCGCTCCCTCTCTCTCTCTCTCTCACACACACACACACACACACACACACAGTGCATTGTTGAGAAGAGGGCATTCAGAGTGAAAAAATACAGCATCAGCCAGGGCTTACAAGCACAGGAATGATCTGAAAATGGCCAGAAAACTCAGGTCATGGAGACAGGAGTTCTCCTTGCTGGGGACCTGGCAACCCTTTGATTCTATGGCAGTTCCCCACGCCCAAGGTCCCCATGCTCAGACGAAATGACTCAGATGAGATAACAGAGCCGTGGGATCCGCCAGCGAGGCTAAACCTTGACGTGAACTTGAAACGTTTTTCTGTCCGACTCTCTCCCACAGACTGAGGAGCGTCAAGATGGAGCAGAGGAAGCTGAGTGACCAGGCCAACACCCTGGTGGACCTGTCCAAGGTGAGTGGCGGAGTCCAGAGACATCCTGGAGCTCCAAGTTGCTGGCATTCAGACTTCTCAGGGGTGTCTGGGAAGACCTGGCCATGTCCAAAGACCACAGCGCAGGACAGGAAAGCCACAGATACTCCTCCTTGGTTACAAAATAAGCAAGATTTAAGCTTTGGACGTTTGCAGCCCACCTGTAGGGGTTTTTGTTTGTTTGTTTTGGGACCAGGGCTTAAACCCAGGGGCACTTACCCACCAAGCCATATCCCCAGCCCTTTTTATACGTTATTCTGAGATAGGGTCTCGCTAAGTGGCTGAGGCTGGCTTTGAACTTTTCTATCTCCTGCCTCAGCCCCCTGAGCCACTGAGATTTCAGGCACGTGCCACGGCACCCAGTCATCTTCTTGACTTTTAAAGCTTGGTGTCTGTTTCTTAAATGGCTCAGGTTTGTCTTATTAGCTGACCTGCTAAGTCTTTTCTGTGGGTTGTTTTAGTGGCTGCCGTTGACGGGCTCCTAAGAAAGAGTTCAGGTCACCCAGGGGCAAAACATGTTAACGAGAACCAAACAGGTGTAATGGCCTGGGTCACACCTGAGACCTTTCTGGCTTTCTGTTATTATCGGGGACTCATTTCCCTGCATCTTCCAATCTTTACAGTCCAGTTTTCCTTGCCCCAAATTGGTGGTACATTTCTCTATTTCCCAAGATGCAATCAACAGTGAATATAAAGATTCCCCCCCCCAAAAAAGAGAGCCCTCTTTTGAGAGCTCAAGGCCTTAAGGCTTGATATCACGTTGCCGTTCCATGTTTCAGGCGCTGAACTGCTGTAAATACCGTGAAGAAGCTCCCTCTTGCATTTCACCAAAGTAGAGAAAGCAAGGCCCCACGTGGGCAGAGCTGGGAGCATGCACCATTGTAGACGGGTCCCTCTAAGCACCCCCCACTGCCTTCTGATAGGAATTAGATACCAAGGGTACCGCCCAGGGCCAGGCTGGCAGAACATTCCAGCAGATGTCAATGATCATAATGGAACACATTCCCTGGGAGAGCAAGAGAGACTCCCTTGGGCAAATTAACCACCTTTTTTAAAGGGGGAGCAATCAGAAATGACTGGTTGTTGGGCCACGGCAGGCACCTTGTTCGATAGAGGGATCAGGCCAAAGAAAGGATCTCCTGAGCCTGCGAGGGCTTCAATCAGAGAGGAAGTGACTTGGCACAGCTGGGGAGAAGTCGCCAGGGCTGCGGACCTCGGGGTGGTGTTCAGGTGGAGTGGGGGATTCCCGAGAGGCTGGGTACGGGGAGGAAGAGAACAGAACAGTGATGTGCAGGAGAGAACCGCACCCCCAGCCCAGGGGGATGTGTTGGTTAATACTCTTGGGTTCTAGGGTTAGGACTGTAGGTCAGTGGTAGAGGGCTTGCCTCGCATGCATGACGCCCTGGTTTGATCCTCAGAACCACATAAAAATTAAAAATTAAAAATAAAGATATTGTGTTCATCTACAACTAAAAAAAAATTTTTTTTAAGTAACTTGGGTTCAAATATTAGAAAACAAACCCATTGAAACTAAGTTGAAAACTGGAAGAATTTACTCTAAGATATAAGAACCTCAATCTAGGCAGAACCTCAAAGCAGGCATGTGGTCAGAGAGGAACTGATTAGAACCATACCTGGGAAGCTCTTGGGGGGCATCTCCTTATGCCATTTGTGTGTGTATGTGTGTGTGTGTGTGTGTGTGTGTGTGTGTGTGCTGGGGATTGAACCCAGGGCCTTGTGCGTGCTAGGTAAGCACTCTACCGACTGAACTACACCTCAGCCCAATACCATCTCTTGACTCTATCTATTCAAGTGTCTCTTTTCAATTCTGTCTCTCTCTCCCATTCCACCTCCTACCTCCATGGCAGACTACAGCAGGCCACCAATTCAGACAGTCTGTGTTATAGTTTTAGCCACAGGTAAAGATTAAGTGGTCTCCTATTTGTCTTAAGTCTGAATTCTCAGAAGAGATGCCGATTGGCCAGTTTGAGTCATGTGCTCACCTTGCACCCATCAACTATGGTCAGGAGGAGGATCAGGTCAGGCCAGCCTACTCTGTGAGCTTCAGGAATAGTCCAGTGGAGATTCCCCAGGACGTTCCTTCTGGGAGCAGCAATGTCACCCAACTCGCCTCTTACCTGGAAGGACACACTGTGACTGATCTCCTCCAGGAATATTAGGTAAACCAGCTTTGAAGCCTGCCTTTCTGCAGTGCCACCTACAAGCCACCCTACAGAGGGATGGGGCCCATGAGCAGACTGTGTGAAGCACAAACCCCATGAGTTAGAAAGATGCTCTCGTGAATTCATAACCTGGAGAGCAAGTTACCTGGAAAAGAGAGCCCTCAGGAAAGAGTTAAGGGGAGAATCTGCAGAGCCACGGTGTGTGTGTGTGTGTGTGTGTGTGTGTGTGTGTGTGTGGTGGGGAGATGCCCAGAAGGCCTGGGGAGGAGGTGGATCGACATCCAGCCAGTCTTTGTCTTTTCCTCCCAGGAGATGCCCAAGGTCCTGGCAGCAGCTTAGCATATTTCACATTGGCCAGTGTTTGCCCTGGCATCCTGTCACCAAGCAACGGAACAGGGGAGGGCAATCTGATGCTGTGCGGACTCCCCTTTCTTTCTTTGTGCTTCACCCCCATCCCCCGACTCACCACCTTCACAGCCCTGCCCTTCAGGCCTCCCTAGATTCAAGATGGGCTGCACGGCCTCCAAATCTTATTTCCTATATTGAATAGCTGCTGCCTTATAAGGAGACAGCGCCAGAGGGCCTGGACTCTTTACCGATTGCTTTAATTTCTTCCATTGAAATGTAAAAATAATTCCTACCATCTGAAGCTCAGGTGATCAAATGAGATAATACCTGTAAAAATGCTGTGTAAACTCTAAAGGTTTTGCAAACGGTAGTGCCGATTCTGAATGTAGATGAGGAAACCAGGATCTAAGAAACAAAGCAGCTGTCCCAAGGTCAGGCAGGGTGCCAGGCGTGGGGCTGAAACCCAGGGGCTTGGACTGTGAGTCCAGAGCTCATCAGGGCGCCCCAGCGGTCACAGGCATTGGCGGTTTGTATATTCTGGGAAGAAAATGCTCACGGAGAAGGTTCTGTGAATGTGAATTAGTGGGGGAAGTACTTCCACTTCTAAAGTCGCCCTTTCCTCTGACGGCAACAGGGATACAGTGTCCTGCTCTGGCAGGGGCATCGCTAACTGAGAGAAAAGCTGTCTTCATGCCACCAAGGGCAGCTCCTCCCTGTGCAGCCTGGCAAACTCCAACTGGCAAGGGTTCACTGCCTTTCCAATCCCCTCTCCCCACTCGTCTCTGGCTCAGCATTTTATGCCACCTTCTTTAACTCCTCTCTTTTTCTCTCCCCTTGTTTCTTACTCCTTGGGCCCCTGGGGGCACCAGTGGGTTCTACATCTTCTGGAGTAACCAGACACAAAAGGTGAAATAGGATCCGGGCATCACTGGCAGGTCACCAGAATCCCAAAGAGCCTGAACCCCTGGGGGAGGGGGGATTGTGGGAGGGGTGACGCTGCCAGCCTGGCCATCTGCCATGGCTGCCACAGGAACCTTATTCCTGAACACCTGGAAGTGTGAAGACTCTTGGGAATCTTGCTCCCAAGTCGGATGTCCAGAGGCAGGACAGCATTTGTTATTTGCAGGATGAAATATGGCTGTCACGTAGACTAGATTAACGTGGGGCCATGGGATAGCTGGGAACTGGCGGGGTCCTTGGAACACTGTGAGACAGTCTTGGGTGCAGAAGGGCTACTGGGGAGCAGTACCCAGGTGGAAAGGCCCTTCAGGGACGTCCCCAAACAGGCAGCACCGACTGGGTCTTTGTGCCCCCTCCTGGGCTGCCTGGGGAAGGGCCAGCCCTCAGATGGTGGCCCCTTTTATAAGGAAACCAAGGTTGAGAGAGGTTAAGTGGCCAGAGGTTGCTGTGTTCCTGAGCTGCATTCTTGCACTTGAACCCTGGCCTGCTAATCGTAAAACTATGACAACAGCCGTTTCCACTTCTGCGTCTTCTCTTTAGTCATTAAATGCCAGCAGCCGCAGAAGCTAAGAGCGTGGGTCTCGGTAAGAATATGGGGACAGTTTAGAGGTGCACTCCGTATAAGGGGGAAGAAAAGCGCTATTTCTTTTCCTTCGCACGTATTTTCTATTAAAAATGTATAATCAGCTGCTGGGCACAGAGGTGCACATCTGTAATCCCAGGAAATCTGGAAGCTGAGGCAGAAAGATCTCCAGTTTGCTGCCCAGCCTGGACCACTTGGTGAGACCCTATCTCAAAATAGGAAATGAAAAGATCTGGGGATGAAGCTCAGTGGTAGAACACCTCTGGGTTCAATCCCCAGCTCCCCAGTACAGGGACACACACACACAATCAATGCTCATTACTGTTGTAATAGGGAACAAATGTGCCCACCCCAGCCTTCCCATCGGCTGGAAGGAACGGGTCTCTCCTTCCTTGGCCACATCAGAGACGGCTGGGGTGCAGGCCACTCCTGCTGCAAGGTGCGGGCGTCTCCCTGGTCCCATGGCCGATCCTCGGTGCGCACGGCCATCTCCGTCTCTGGTTCTCTCTCGGCACAGATGCAGAATGTCATGTATGACTTGATCACCGAGCTCAACGACCGCAGCGAGGACCTGGAGAAGCAGATCGGCAGCCTGGAGAGTAAGCTGGAGCACCTCACGGCCAGCTTCAACTCCCTGCCCCTGCTCATCGCAGACAGCCTGCGCCAGCAGCAGCAGCAGCTCCTCACCGCCCTCCTGGAGGCCCGGGGCGTCAGCGTGGCCGTGGGCACCACGCACGGGGCCCCGCTCTCCGACAGCCCGATCGGGGTCAGCTCCACCTCCTTCCCGACCCCGTACACAAGTTCAAGCAGTTGCTAAATAAAACTCCCCTCTCCGGAAGCGTTACCCCTAGGTCTTAAGATGCAAATCCACTCTGTCCTGGTCGCTTTGCCACCGCGGAACTCGGAGACCAGGGAGCGGAAAGAAGAGACGGAGCTCGGAGCTGACTCGGCCCACTCGCGCTTGGTTCGAAATGCCTTGAAACCAGAAATCTAATCTCTGTTTAGGTGCCTCTACTTGGGAGCGGGACGCGGAGAGGCCGGGAAGCGACGCCTCTGGCGGGGCCCTTGCTGCAGAGTTGGTGGAGAACAGAATCCGCGCTCAATCTCAGGTCTTCACGTGGGGGTGGGCGGGGCAGGTGCGCGGGTGCCACCCTGAAGCCAGGCCAGAGAGGGGCCTGGGAGAGGGGTGGGGCAGGCTGGGGGACCTCGAGCATGCCTCTCTCCTTCCATCTAGAAAGCCTTGGGTGACAAAAAGTAAGAGAGCTGCCCACAACTTGCCAAAACAGACATACCTAGTTTAGACTGAAAAAAGGTGAATAGTGAGAACTGCACACACACACACACACACACACAAATGAAAAGCTAGATTTTTCCATCTAACATAAATACCTATATAAGCCTGGATGTTTGCACGTGTGCGTACACACACACACACACACACACACACACAATTTCCCACACCCCACATTCAGTCCAAGTCCTTTCTTGTTTGAACTTCACCCAAATACAAAGGGACCGGATATTGTCCCCTGCGCACAGTAGGCACTCTCTTAAGGTGAGCTGAGTGGGTTTGAATATGCACACAGGGTATATTCAGCCCCGGTAGTTAGGTCGTGTTGGCCACATCCTGGGCTCCTCTGAAGACACAGGTCCCTTCCAACTCAGTGCAGGTTGCTTTGCCCTGGATACGCACCGTGCATGATTTGAAGTGGATGCCAAGCCAAAACTGTTGGCATTCTGGAGGGGTAAGCAGGCTTCTAAAAATAACAGCTTTTGCAGGGCTTCCTTCTTACATCCAAACAAGCTGTTCTGATGGACTACACACCTGGACGTATGTGAGGGAGGGGTCCAGAGGATTATGCATGTGTTTGCACAATGCACCGACAGATGCAACCCCATGGCATCTTGGTGGACAGAAGTATTGTCTGGAGATTTGCTGAGCTGTACTCACCCAGCAGCATGTTTCCAGCCCCTGACATTAGAAATGCAAAGAGTCAAGCGCCTCACCTTTGAGCTGCTGAGCTGGGAGGGGAAGGATAGAGTGGCCCACATGGTCCCTTCTACCTGACCTGAAGGCACCTCAAAATGAAATATTGTGAGAACAAAGGGAGTCTTTAGGGAATCTTGTGGGTAAGGTAAGAAGAAGAGATTTGTCAGAAGCCTATGCATATTGTGCCATGTTAAATCTCGGTGCAAAAACAATTTCCATCCATCACAAATTCCAAGAGACTCTAGAAACATCAAGATGCAGTGTAGCGACAGGAACTGAATTTTTTTCTTTCATTTCTCCATAATCTGACCACACACACAGTATTTGTGTCATGCTATTCATCATTTTCCTCATTCTGAGGTCCTTGACTTCTACTTGTGGGAAACTAATGATACTGTATGGAATATTTCATCTGTTTAGGGTCAAACAAAAGGGTGTTACCTGCAGAGAGGGTTATCATTTGTGGTCGGGCTTTGTCACAAGCCATCTCCATTCATAAGGCCGAGCTTTGTTGTGCAAATTTTTCTTTTCATTTTTATTTTGGATTGGGGATTGAACCCAGAGGTACTCTACCTTGAGCTACAATCTCAGCCCTTTTTATTTTTTGAGACGAGGCCTTGCTAAGTTGCTGAGACTGGCTTTGCATTTGTGATCTTCCTGTCTCCAGCTCTGGAGTCACTGGGACCACAGGTGTGCATCATGGCTCCTGGTAGTAGATTTTTCTTCTACAGCACTGAGCCTGGTCTTCTAAGGATGAGGGAATCACTAGACAGGAAGGTAGGCAATTCTAGAATGAAGGCTACTCTTTCAGGAAGATCTGGGCTCTTGCTAACCTTCTTCTTTGGGGTCTTGCTATTGCTACCTTTTCCCCCCAGGGCTGGAGAGGCAACCCAGAGCCTCACATATTCTAAGCAAATGCTCTGCCACTGAGTTAAACCTCAGGCCACTGCTGTTGTTTAAATGATCTGTCTTCTTAAAGGTTTATCTTGAGAAATTTTCATGGGTTGTTTTGCATACTGGAGATGCTACACCTGCTGTTGGCTTTTTATATTTTCCACTTGTTCTTTTAACTATTGATTATCTGGAAGACTCCCACCTCTTTTTTTCTTTTTTCCTTTTGTTCCAAGAATGGTGCTCCTATTTTCAGTGACAGTTCCACCAAATATATAAGCAGATGTATAAACAGATGAAATAGCCACACAGTTTATTTGTGGCACTAATTCTGCTTCACAGAGTGCAGACCACTGATGGTTCAACTTAAGGGTGCCATTCCCAATCATTTAGACTACAGCCATCGACTGTGGATTCCTGCTTACCCTTCCCTCCCACTATAACTCTGTGCTCTGTGTGTGGGTGTGTGTGTGGTGTGTGCACGTGCACATGGGTGTGTGCACACAGAGAGATTTAGTCTTCATTTCACATAAATGACTTACAGAATTCACTGCCACCCCTCTTGCCCCAAAGTGTGTGCAGACTGTCATTTATCTGAATTACCACAGGCTGTGGATAATTCTTTTTAAACCCATTATCGATGCTCTTGCTGGGTCAACCCTGAAGATGAAGTGAGCCGTGGTAGTCGAGGAAGTGGTTGGAGTTATTTCCAGTAGCAGGAGCCACGGGCATCGTAGAGACACGTGGGCATTGGCAGCATGACTTGACCTATTGGTCGTGCAATAGCTAGGGTGAATTTTATCTTTGGCAAAAGATAATCTTTAAAAAAAAAAAGTGAATCTGCATGTTGATCCCTTCATGGCAAATGGGATGTGACTTCTCTGTACTAGTGCTTCAGCTTTATGTGGGGAAGTTACGATTCTGCTGCAAGTACAATCAACCCTTGAAGACCTAGGTGTTCATTATCCTGGGTGTAGCTCACCCGGATTTTCCTCCTACATCTCTTTGCTGATTCCGTGGCATCTCAGCCACACAGTCAGATGGGGGAAGGGGACCGGTGAATTATAATGTCATGCCTTCTTGTACCTGATTCTCAAGTTTTGGTCATGGAAGAGGTTTAATTATCTGCTCAAGAATGGGCTGCATGTAAAAACTAATCATCACAGAAACCTCAGTCCAGTACAGAACCCATCAAATTCCGCCCCCTTCTGGAAGGCTGACCCAGTGGCAGAGCCCCTGCTATCATCTTTCCAATAATGCAGTGGCAGGTAAAAGCATCCTAATAATCCCCAGAGTACCTAGACACTTGAATTAGAAATACAGAGCCACCCCCTCCCTCATCGCTTAAGCCATATTATAGCTTCGTGTACTGAAAAGTCAGGGATGTACTGTGATACTTTAAGACCACTAATCTCAGTGGAATTTCAGGACGTAGCATCAGTTGGTGAATTATACCAGACTAGAAGCTTCACTCCTCCTTAGATTGAAGTCCAAATACAAACCTGCACCTTTGGATCAAAGGCCACATATCTGTGATCATCACCAAGAACCATTCTTGCCATCTTCATAATATGTCACTTCATGCCATCATATCTCTAGAAATGCTTAATATAATCCAAAAGAGCAAGAGGGGTACAGCCCTGAGTCACCACTGGTGGCCTGACATCCGTGGGGACCAGGGGCATCATAACCTCGTAAATGAGATGTGGAAAATGTACATGCAGGCCAGCTCTAAAGTGCTCAGTGCAAATGGTTTTATTATTAAAGGTCGAGAAGGAGTAGCATTAAAGAAATGATGGTTTTAATATATTGGGGATTTCCCCCTTAAATTTTCCATAATTTCCTTGTGAATAAATCATGAAAAAGAAGAAAACCCAGTGATACAAAAATCAGAATAAATAAAAACTTAAGACTGGTTCCACATCTTTGGCCAACTAATATAACCACTTCATACCTCAGTTTCTCTGTACTTACAATGAAGACAATAGTTACTATTGCTAAGTACAAAGTATTCAATAGAGGAAAACAATGAAACCATGATTGTCATCGACAACAACCCAGCCTGGCTCTAGCTAGTCCCCACTTGGATGTTGTATTTGAATGTAGTCAATAGTTACCAAAAAGTAATTATTACATAGCAAATAAGTAGTGAAACTGGCAGGGAGAAATAGCGCCTAGTTTCAGAATCCACCGCCTCCTCCAGATTGTCACTTGATAGACAGTGCACCCCAAGTCAGAATCAGTGTTTCATCTCAGAACCAAGGATTTTGCTACTACCATCCATCATAAAAACCCAGCCGAGACGCTAAGGAAGTCATTGCACTACCAGTAGGTTGCTATTCTTTTTTTTAAAAAATCACTGAATTTAAATCCTAAAATTTGTCTCCAGTTTTACACAGTCATTCTACTTCCCTGAAGGTCGCTAGAAGCAGATTAAGGATCCGTTCGTGGTCATCGGGCTGTCCCCGTTGATTCCGCGGTGTTTGATTTCAGTACCTTAGACAGCTATCAGTGGCTTCCCTCCCCCTGCAGTCTTCGGGCTTGAGGACGCCCCGGACACTAGCCCTTCCTTCCTTCCCCACTGCCGCCAGGGTCAACGCTTTGGGAATGAGATCACTGTACCGCTAGGAAAGGAGCCTGACTTTCTGCCTGGGGTAGTGGGAAGCTCGTGCCAGGCGGCGGGAGTAGAAATGAACACCTAACTCCTGTCAGGCGAGTAATGCGTAGATTTACATTGAGATAGACCACAGCTTATTTAAGAGTACTCAGTGCAAGGGTATATAGATACATATAGACAGAGAAACAATATAACTGTGATCTTTGTGTCTTACACCATTACTGGAAACACCCAAACTCAACTGGAGTTCCCTCTGAACAAAAACCATTGTCAAATCTTCAACGGATGACCTCCATACCTAGGTGCCAAGTGCCCCGTGACAGTGTTTACACACCTGAGAATTGTATTTCTGGAAGCTGTAATCTTGGGCCTGGACAAACAAAAGAGACGTCGTTGTGACCAACCGAGCTGGTGGAGGAAAAGCACAAAACCCAATACCAACCTGTACAGTTAGGATCCCAAAGAGATGCTGACATTTTTGGCCAAAAACAAACAAACAAACAAACAAAAAAAACAATAGTGACAAATCAAATCTGATTGGAACCGCCAATATCTGGGTTCTCAGAAGAAGGACAGGGAATAAACAACAACATTCTCTAGCTATGTCCGTTTTTGAATCCCAACCAGGACTGACGACGACCTTCATCAGACATTTTTTTAACGGCGCAACAACTCGATTTGGGTCCCAGACTCTCCATTCTGCGCGGCCACAAGAGAACAACGAGAGAGCATGACAGGATGTTCATGGAGGGGACATTTCCATGGCAAACTCAGAGACTGAAGTGTTCATATCCTGAATCAGACGAGCTTCAATATGAATTTGCATCTTGCCTCTGTACTGCTTGCTATTTTTTAAATGATAGGAGAAAGCATAACAGTTTATTTTAAATATGAAATATATTGCTATATTATAAAATATATTGTAACTTTCAATTAACATTTTTGTATCAAACTAGTCTTTAGCAGGTCCAGTGTTAGCCTGCTCTCCCAACCACTGTTTCTGAGTACACATCATTGTTAGAGATCGCCTGACACCCAGGCCACGGGCCTGGTCCCACAACCTGTGAATTGCCATATTCTCATTTTTCTAAGACCTAAGCATTAGTGACAAAAAAAAAAAAATACTATTACAAACTTAGAAGGATGATTCTACCCTAAATTCTGTCAAGCCATTTCAGAAGAGATCTTAAAAGCCATCGCTCCTTTAAGTAACAGCACAGAGCCAGTTTAATAAAAGTACAGATTCTTTCTATAGAAATGCAAAGGCCCCGCTCATGCTATAAATTAGGTCTCCACTTGGGCCAACCCGTTTTCCTTTGGCCATGTCAAAATTGGGCACAAGGAAGAATGCTGTTTTTCTTGTGACTCAAAAGACTCCAAATTTCTAAGCCTTGTGAGTTGCTTAGTTGTGTGTGGGAAGAGTAAGACCGGGTTTGAGTCCCCCCAGGCAGGGCCTGGGGAGAGCCCATGCAGATGTGCTTTTCTGAGCTGGCAATTTCCTGAAGGGAGCGCGGTTTCCACATGTCTGTCACCAAGGTGGAGCCAGCAAAGAGCTGGGCTCCCTGTTCTGCCCATTTACTCTTCGCTGGAGGAAATCCTTTTCGGCTAAGGTGTTTTCTTTTACGGCAAAATTAAGCAACTCATGAAATCCACTCCCCTCCTGCAGCCGAGACACAGGTAGAATTTCTCAGTTCCCTCTTTCGAATGACCACGTTCCTATTTCTAGATGAAAACAGATGTGTTCAGTTACAGAACAAAGATTTCCTCAAATCAGTGAGCCTCCTCCAGGTGAGGGCCCTCCCTTTCAGTCACGGCTTCTGTTTAGTATTGTACAGGCGCAAACCAAATAGCATAAAGGTAGGTTTAACTTAGCTTGTGTGTCTCGACACAAACGTGGGAAATTCACACAGCTGTCCAGATAGTACCAAACGGACAGGTCTTCTCCTTGGGTGGGGGTGCGGGGGACTGGAATCCTCCCAACTTCCCATGTGTTTGAACTTCAATTCTCTTGTTCATCTCACTAAAACCAAGGCTTGGGCCTCCATGATGTTAGTTATTCATGGAGCGTGAAAGCAAAATCTCTAAATGCCCATTTCAATCTGCTTGAGTCGTTGAGTCCCATTTTGTACACAAGTTGTGTCTGTGTGGAGCTAAATACGCTCAGCGTCTGTGTCACTCCTCAGTTGCACGCTAGGCTGAGTGCCATTAAAGCCATCACAACTCTGGGGCACCCGCTCTAGTTTATTTACTCGCTGGGTAAATGGAAATTAGCTAATTCTCAACTTTATCACTGACTGATGAAATGCACTGATGGTCATCGATTTGTTTCTTAATACTTTTCTGCTGCTAAATAGAACGATCTCTCTTGGCTTTTCCTTCTAGCACTTCCCAGATTGACAAAGACGTTTCCGTTTATAGAGAACAAATACATTCTGACCTTTCCCAACAAAGTTGTTACTCAAAGAAACCAACACAAATTCCAGAGTTGGGGAAAGCAGACCTCTGGACTGTAATTCAAGTATATGGCTATATGCTAATCCTTGCTACCCTGGAGAGCGGCCCATGGGTTAGCGGCAGTAGAATCACCTGTAAGCTCTTTAGAAATGCAGAATCTCAGGCCTCACATCAAACCCGCTTCGATCGGCCTTTTCACGAGATCCCCAGGTGATGTGTATGCACAGTAAACACTGAGAAGGGCTAGCTTCACCACACTGTAACAGACCAACCTCATTGATAATTAGGGAATGAAACCATTTCTTTCTCGAGCTTCATTTACCAAATGACTTGGTGATGTAAAACCCCTTTACCCTCATAAGGATAAAGACAAATGCATCTTCGAATTCCATTTGAAGTCATACAGCTTGGATGGTGTACATGAAACAGTAGAGTCAATAAGAGGCGGTCTTTTTCTAGCCTAATTTAAAGAGGGCTCACTTTAGAGCCTTGAGCAACTTCAAAGCCCCTTTTAAGCTTTTTTTTTTTTTTTTAGCTTGTGCTAGCAAGGCCAGGAGGATATGAGGTGGGGCCTCAGGGCAGGTCCCCTGAAACAGAAGGCCCCCTGGGTCTCTCTGCTGGCATAGTGCAAAGGAAGCTGCCTTTTGTGATCTCTGTGTTCCTTCTGAAAGGAGCTCAGCACCTCACCAGTGAGAACTCTCCTCCTCTGGAGGAAACTAGCAAGGGAAATCAGTTCAGCCACTGGAAACCATCCTAATCTCTTCTAAAGCCAATTCTCTTATCTCATTGCACCAACCAAGGTGGGTAGAGAAAGATGGGAATTCTGATGTTGGCGCCATAAATTGATATGTACCCAGAAACAGTCAATGTTCTAAATTAATGGCTTTAACCTGTTCATTGTAAAAAGTGCCTTGGACTTCAATCTAAAGAGGTCAGTATAAATATGTATGTGTGTGTGTGATGTGTATGTAGGCAAATATTTACATATTTATACATACATAGGTGCACACACGTATACCTGCACATTCATATATAATATATATATATACATACATATATAAATGCTTCGTAATATATCATATTGCTATTCATAGCTCCATTTCTTGTCTGGTCCTATGTTTATTTGTTTAGTGAGATCTTTACATAGAGAGGTTCTATTCAGGACATCGATGTATTTTTTTGTTTGTTTTTTACTTTTTATTAAAAAGGTAAAGGATATTAAAAAAAAAAAAAAAAAGTCAAGTGCCTAAAGGTTTTGAATGGAGTTGTGGTAAAATTTTTCAGGTCACCAAGAAGAAACTAACTTTTCCTTTCAGGAACATTTTTCTGTTTCAGCAACTTTGCTTTCCCACCACCGAAGTGCAGAAATAAGGGCGGGTAAAGAGCTCTTGTAACTTCCAGTAGAATCCAGGGCCTGGTCTTTGCGAGTGAGCAAGGCGTGGTTTTGTCGGTATGGTCCTTGGTTCCTGGTTAAGAGAAAGCACACTGCAAATGCAGGGGGTGGGGTTCAAATCAGCTTCCACAGGCAGGAGGACTGCGGAGAAGTCTCTAATGGGAACCCGTGTCTTAGAAGGCTGGCAGAGGGCCCAGGGGACTCTCCAGAGCTCTGCAGGCTCCGGCCTTTCTATAATAATGCCATTGCCTGTGTGAATTGGCCTGTCTCTGCCTTAGCCAAAGGTCTCCTCTCAATAGTGAAGCAGCTTGTGATGAACCACTGCCTCTGGTTAGAAGTTCACAAAGAGCTAGGGGTGGGGGTCACCAGGTTTCCACGGCTCTGCTCATGAACTCAAGGATGCATTGTATAGTTCTTTAAAAGAGGAGAGAGAGAGAGAGAGAGAGAGAGAGAAACTGGTCTGGCTTCCTGCACCTGTGTCAGGAACCTCCCAACACCCAGGACCGGATCCAAGAGGAATGGCCTGGTTACAGTGGCAATCAGAAGAGACACTGCGACATTTTAGAGGGCACCAGAAAGACAACAGTGTCCAGCTGTGTCCAGGCTGCAGACACACCGTGGAATGAGGACTAAGAAGGCCCGGGAGCCAGGGGTGGGAAAGGAATTTTCCCGAGTGGATACCCCTGAACCCTCACTGCTCTCCCTGTGAGTTTTTCTGAGCACTCGATAAAAACTAATAGTAACAATAGTGCAAGCCGCACGTGGCAGTGCACAGCTGTGATCCCAGTGACTCTGGAAACACACAGGGAGATCATGAGTTGGAGGCCAGCCTGGGCAACTGAGCAAGACTCTGTTTCAATATAAAAAAATGGCAAGGGCTGGGCAGACATCTTGTGGCAGAGCATCCCTGGGTTCAATTCCCAGAACCACAAAACAAACAAACAAATAAAATAAGCAACCTCGGTGCTTTCAGAAAAAGAAAAAAAAATCTAATAGTTGGAACGTTTTCTAGGTTGGTAGATCCAAAAAAATATTTTCAAAAACTACATCTAGCTGTATTTCTACTACTGGTCATTCCAGAAAGCTGTCTTCCAAAAATTCCCAATGAATGACTCTATTTACCAACTCGGTGGTAACTAAATGATAATCGTTTGTACTGAGAAACAGTAACACCTTTCATCGAAGGACCTCAAAAGTCAATCAAGTCATCCTGTGAGGTGGATGACAGATATTACTCCCATTATTCCCATGGGAAAGTCGGGCCCTAGGCATTTGGGCAGAAAAGGACTCATTTTAATTGAAAATATAATGTGAGCCCATCTGGGGAAGGAATGAACACTTAGAAGCGTGTGGTCTAATGTGGTCCCCCATCAGATGGGTGTGAGCCAAGGTGTGCGCTGACCGTGTGTGTTGACCAGAGCATTGGGAACGTGAGTGATGGGCTGGGGTGGGAGACTACATTTGTGTATGTGTGAAGGGGCTCAGTTTGTGGCCTTTCCCACTCCCTCTTGAACGGAAGCCAGAGATGATGGGCATTTACACACGTTATGGCATAGGCTGATGCCGTATGATGGCATCTAATAAAAGTAAGAGGAACCAAATTAATATAAAAAAGTCAGGAACACCAGCAGCTGCTTTGCTTTCCTCTTGCCTCCTTCCTTCCCTACATCTGCAGTTGTGAAAACAGGAATTCTTTTTAAAGGGTGAATTCTTAATTTAGATCAAAAACTGAGCCCCCTTGGACAGGTTGCTTTTTTAAGCCGGGCCAGGTCCACCCTGGAGTTAATGGCGGTGTTGACTTGGGAGATTGGCCCCCACCGACAGGAGGACACATGAAAGGGTTTAATACCTAACCCAGTTTTAATGACCTAGAAAGAGGAGCCCTGCCCCTCCGTCCAACGGCTGTTCATCGGTGGGAATATCTAGCCACACTGATGTGTGATAAGGCAAATCCACAGCTGTGTTCAAATAAAGCATCCATCCGGCAGTGAAGCCATTTATCTGAGCAGAGGCTGCAAGGCTTTACTTCACAGTAGAATCCCCTCAGAAGCTCTTGAAAACACCCAAGTCAGTCTCGGGAACCCCTGGAGATCCAGGAGGAGGATCTGCAGTGCCACCTGAGCATTTCCCTGAAGCCACCCCGGCGGTTCTAAGGGACAGCTGGAGCGAGCAGAGGGGAGGCCGCGGGTGTGCAGGCTGCCCAGAGCTCCCTGATATCAAGATTTTTATAAAGATGGTGATGTGCTCACCGCTGGGTTCCTTTTCATCTTGCCTGCTTAGTTTCAACCCTAGCCCATAAACCTGCCCTGATTTGCATTCCAGCCCCACACGCACAGGCAAGCAGC